GTTTAAATCGGCATACGAGCTGCCGCGTACAAGTGCCAATAAGGAAATTCGCTTATTCCTGTTTACGTGGGCGATTTTACGTGCGGAACAGTTAACCAGCGAGGCAAACCCACTTTCAGGCCCAGCGAAGACCCCCTTGAGGCCCCGCTGTCCCAATTGCCATGAGTCCCTTTTCGTGTCCTTGCCATCAGATACTCAATCCTGTTTGTCAAATCTCAATGGACTAATTTATCCAAATTAAAAAAAATATATATACTGTCAAAGTTGTAGATATAAATTTTTTATTTTTTAAAATAAAGCGATTTTTTTTCCTGAGAAAAAAAATTAGTCTTCCTCGTTTTACAAAATATTTTATAAACATTGGTTTCTCTTGTGGAATGTGAAATCTAAATTATTCCAAGTGCAATTTGACATTAGTACTTGGGCATAGGTACTGCTGCATATTAATAACAGGTGTTTATTGTATATAGGAATTGACACGAGTTACGTAGTGACTGATTAGTACGGTCTAATATATATGTATATATGTAATATATAATGTATGACTATGTACAGTATATACGGTATAGGACCCATTATACAAATTGCATTTATACCAATAATTAAAGCTATACGGATTCATTGCACTTGTACATATGTGATATACACGCGACTGAAGAATCAAGGTGAGGTTAGAGTCGAGATGGAGAATGAAGTGAAAGAAAAAGAAGTGGTTTTAACGTACCGGTAGAAAAGAAACGAAACGGGTGTCGTAATGGATCGAGTCACCGAATGGATGATAATGAAGGCTTCTAGCTGGTAAATTCAAATGAGACGTTCGTGGGCATATGGATTCCTAGAAGGGCCTTGGCCTAGAGGAATCCGGTCATCGTATTGGCATTCCATGGTAAATGAATTTGGCAAAGGCCTTGATCTTGATTTTGAATATTGGTACCGTGTGTTGGTATTAACTTTTTTTTTTTGAATATGAAAAATTATTTAGGTCAAGAATATTAAAAATTTTCACTTTTTTACATCGTAAAGGAATTTACGCACTGTACGTGTAATAAGTGCTAGGGGTATATTTAGATTTTGGAATATGTGAGGGTTTCTATTTAGAAAAATTTTTTTTTGCAAATTTATATCACTATAGTGGCTGAGAACTAGGTAGAATGAAATACCGTACCCTAATGCTCTGTCTCCGCTATTCGCTATGTCATAGACACTGAACGTGAGGAGAATTCGAAAATAATGTTTTTGTCCATAAAAAAATTTGACATCTCGATTCGGATCACGTTGTCTCTCTCTTTCATCTGAAGAATCAAGCGAGATAATGCAGAAAATGATTTTTTTTGGACCTTGATTACATTCAATTTGATAAGATTTTTTTTTAAACCAAAAAAAATCAATTTTTATCACGCTGTGGCTTTATCAATTTTTTTTTTTTTTTTTTTTTTTTTAAGGAAAAAAAAAAAAAAATTTTTTTT